AAAAGTAGACTTTCACTGATACCTGTCTACTCCAGTGTAATTCCATAATATGTGCCATTTCAAGCACTGTAGCGCTCTTGCATTTTGCTGCCATTTATGGTCTACATTTGAGTGTGTTTTATTAGAAAACTGCTACCTCACAATGCTGCAACCTATTATGATAGTAAAGGGATGTGGGTGGATGTTTAACTCCTGCAGTTCCAGGAGAGGAACAAGCAGCAATTGGTGTCCCAATGGATTGAACTCTTCACTAGGTAATCCTTGGTGGCTGCCTGAGACAGCAAAAACAGGAATTTCACGACTAAGTTGCTAATGCTCAGCTGTGTGCTATACGGCTACTTCTTTTATAAATATGGGACACATCTACCAAGTTTGCTCAGTTCATTTTGTGCTCTCCCCTTCCTCCATTGCATGGAACTTGTGTGGAACTGCATGGAATTTGCCTGAATCAAACCATGCACATTGCAAAAGGGAGTTCTGGAAAAGCAGGGGGAACTGTGGCCATCACCCACATACATAAGGCAAAGTACTTTGCATATCTCTTAGGTGCACACTTCTTAATGTTGGGAAAGTGGCAGCCTGCCAATCAGAATTAGATATATGCTGCCCATACTGCAAGGGATGTATAAAAAGGCTCAAGTTACACTGATACGTGGCAATCTCTCACGTGCTATTGTGCTCAGGTTATCCTACGTGGAATAGGTCATGTAAACTAAAGTTTCCGAATCAATGGCTCCACTGTTACATTCCCTGCTGCTTGTCAAACATTCTTGCTTGCCATGCAGGAAACCACACCAATGCCAGGAGAGCTCAGGGAATGCTTAGACGGTTGTGCGCAGGAGAGAGAAGTGTGCTAATCTTTAGCAACACTTAGGACATTTTAAGTTTCCACCTTCCTGTCCTAACTCCAAGCTCCCAGAACTAGCAAACACCTCCTCTTGCACATTTTGGCAGGCGGTGACCGCTATTGCTCTTCTTTTTTCCACTTCCAACTCCAGTTTACCAACTCTAGTTGCCCTGGTGACCAAAATGTTTCCCATCAAGAGACTGAAAAAAATCAAGTAACCATAAATTTTATTTGAAAATTATTATTTTTCCTGCAACCAACAAGTAGTATTTGAAAGCACACTAAAAACAAGAGGTTTCTCAAAATCTGACACCTCTTCTCTGTGCAAGCAAGCTGCTACAACTTGGAAGGGTGGGAACTGGCTTGTAGGAACTGGATGTCTGTGATCTATTTATTCCTCTCTGCAGCACGTCCAAGTGTTCCCTAGCCTAGTACATGCTTCCTTGCTGATCATATGAGCAAACTGCTACAGAAGTTGAGCTGAGAGATCTTGTTTCTCCCTCTAGTGTTCAAAGCTGGATCTTGGAGTGCCAGGTAATTTTCGTCCCTCCATTTTATCAACAGTGTTCATGGTGGGGAAAAATGGCTGAATGAGAATACAGTGGTACCTCAGGTTAAGAACTTAATTCGTTCTGGAGGTTCGTTCTTAATCTGAAACTGTTCTTAACCTGAAGCACCACTTTAGCTAATGGGGCCTCCCGCTGCCGCCGGAGCACGATTTCTGTTCTCATCCTGAAGCAAAGTTCTTAACCTGAGGTACTATTTCTGGGTTAGCGGAGTCTGTAACCTGAAGAGTCTGTAACCTGAAGCATATGTAACCCGAGGTACCACTGTATTTCAATTTTGAAATACAATTTTGAATTGTATTGCTTCTTCTCCAGTAGAGGATATTGGCTGTGGGATATGGTGTGCACTTTCGTAAAGGTGGCTGTTCCTTTATTCTCTGCAGGCTCTCAAATCCCTCCCACCACCTTTGTTCCTCACTCTTGCCTACTGCCTTGTTGAGTCAGACATAATGCTGGCTTACTTGTATTCCTTTCCTCACACCGTACCACCAACATGCAAACCACACTTTGGGTGTCTCCTGTTGTAATGTTTAGCTTCTAAGAGGCAGGCAGTCAAGCTGGTCTACATACCTATTTGCCACTTTTTTATTTTTAACGGTGGAGTGGGCACTTGTGCTACTTCCCTCCTATTATGACAGCCCAGTGATTTAATGATGTCTCTTCGTTAAAGATCTGCCCATTATTCAGCACAGAACAGCAGAAAAATGAGTTTACCTAATTTTGGAACTGCCTGTTTCACAGAATGAGCACTGTCAGGCTTACAGATCCCCTTCCCTCCTTCCACAAGACTGGCTTGGTCTTCCCCTCTCCCATTGCATCTTCCCACCTCCCACAGAGAAAGAGGTGGGGAAAAACCACAAGAAGTCACATCTCATTTCCTTTTATTATAAAAAGTGTACTTCATTTACAGTCATAATCATAGAATTTTGCATATCAATTGGCCTGGCCCTATTTGACAAAAACGCAAAAGGGCAGCAGGGAAGAGTTTTGTTTTGTTTTTAAAAAATGCCCCAATACAGAGCGTCTTTCTCTTTTAACTCCCTTCTCAATCCATCCCCCAAATTAACTGGGAGTTGAAGGCATATGGGATGTAGCTGCATTCTTCCTGATTATGCCATCATAAAAAAAAATACACAAATGTTAGAGAACACAATGTGTCTTACATAAATGCCCTTATCTCTTTTGACCACATAAATTTTGTTCTTTGAATCTGAGCAGCTTCTCTGAGCATATTCCATAAAAATGACAAATTCAGCCAGAGCGCTTCCTTCCCCTTCCCCACCCCCTGTCAAAATCTAAATTTTCCCTCCTCAGGGTCAGACAGACATATTTTGGCACCTGAGGTGAACCACAAAATGGTGCCCCCCCCACTTCCAGGGGAAAAGTGAGGGAACAGTAGGGGAATAAAGATCTACATCAGGATCTGCTGCCCCTGTGGATGCTTCTGCTTGAGGGAATCGCCTCACCTTGCCTCCTGAGGGTGGGGGGGGGGCTAGCCCTGCCTCTCCCAATGATAATCTTTAATAATAATGGTGTGTCCAGAGGGTCTGGTTAAAACCATTGACCAGAGTTGTTGCAGTTTCCTTGGGCAGGAAATGAAAATGAGGATGTAATAGGATCTATGACAGACCGGACTGTCACCACGCAGGGGACAGAGATGGCTATTTGCCCACATACATCAGGGGCAAGTATGAGACACAAATTCAACAAATCCTACTATCTTCACAGGTTGCCACCTTAGCAAGTGTTTATCCACACACCTTTGTGGTAAGTTGTGACTTGACCATTGGTCCATTTTGGGGGGGGGGACAGTCAAGGAAGAGATTGGGGAGTTTTCAATACACTGAAGCATACATTCATACCACCACAACCCACCCCAGCTACCCAGGCGGTGTGGCTCCCGAGATCCACTCGGACGAACGGCGGTGAAAAAGATAACGTAACGAGATGACATTCAGCCCAGCCACAGAAAGAAAAGAAAAGCCCAGTCAGGTTAGGCGATGCTGCTATAAAACTCGTGAAAGTCCCTTTCCATGAAGATCTCGCTCTCGATGACATCGTCCTCGGAGGGGAAGTACTGCAAGCTCTCCTCTTGCAGCGCGCCCTCCAGGGATCCTCCGAAGAAGCGCAGCCCGGGCGCCTGCGGCGGGAGGCCGCCGTCGTCGGGGGGCGGCAGCAGCGCCGCCGCTGTCGTCGGGGCCCAGGCGGGCGAGGGGGACCCGTCGGCGCTGGGGCAGTCCATGAGCGCCCCGCGCGCGTTCTCCAGCACGCCCAGGTACGAGTCCATGTCGAGCGGGTCCATCTCGCAGTCCGAGCCGCCGCTCTCGGTGCCCACCGAGTCCGAGCGGAGGTGCATGAGCTGGTACTTCTCGCGCATCAGGAACTGGTTGGTGTTGCGCGGCGCCCGCATGCCCGGCGCCCGCTTGCCCATCATGTTGACCGGGCGCAGAGACAGCAGCACCCGCGGCCGCGTGGGCCGGTAGCAACGGGGCCAAACCTTGCCTTGCTGCTGCTGGTAATAGTGCTGGCGTCCGTTCGCCCTCGAGGAACTGGGGTTCCTGCCCCGCCTCCGGTGGTGCCAGCTGGGCCTGCCGCGGCCGAAGACCCTCCGCGGCTGCCCCCTCTCCTTCAGCGGCTGCAAGCGGGAGAACGCCCCTTCCGGCACCTCTTCGCCTCTCCCGGCCTGGGGGGGATCCCAGCAGCGGACCCCCTTGCCGCACATCAGCAGCTCTTGCCTTCTCAGCATAGCAAAGGACACTCCTCTCGCATACTCCCGGGGCAGCTGCCAAGCAACCCCCCCCCCAAAGCAGCAGCCCTCCTCGCCTCCTCCTTTCCCCCCTCTCGCTGCTTCCTTCTCGGGTCGGTTTCTCCAGGCGCCCTTCAAAGCTCCAGATCCCCCACACTGGGCTCTCCTCGCCTAGCTTCTACCTTTTCACAATCCGCTCCGTTTTTTTCTTGACCAGAGCCTTTTTGCAGCGCATAGCCCGGCCGAGAGGCTGCAGGCTGAGGGGCAGCTTGACCACCTCGAAGGCTAGCTGCTGCTGCTGCTCAGAGTTGCTAGGTGGGTCCGGGGGTGTTTTGCTCAAGTCCAAGATCCCACTTTCTCTACAGGAACTGGATTTTGGTGCCTGAGACGGTGGGGAAAGGAGGGGGGGTGAGGAGGAGTGAAGCGCCACTGGGCTGTGCCTACAAGTTCCGCTCAGCTCAAAGCGCTCAAAAAATAAAGCACATACCAAACTCTCCCTACTCGTTTCAGCCTCTGTGTGTTTGAACGCTTCGCCTCGCCCACTTATATATATGCTTTGGAACGATCCAATGGCGGCCACTGTAGGGGGGGGGTGAGCCGTTTCCCACAATTATCTACACAAATATTCCCACAAATATTTCCAGAGCCTTAACTGGAGGGACACAAATAAAACGCAAAAATTAGACAATCTGAGGGGAGGAGGGAAGATGCTGCTGTGAGGTTCCTTTCCCCATTTTTTTTTATGTCTGTGTGAGGGTGTATATCTATATCTATGTTGGTTTGGTCCAAATCGCAAGGCAAGTCATTTTCTCCTGAGCTCCTATGCACAAACCGTACTTACGCTTGCGTTTTCTTCCGAGAGCCGCGTCTTCGAGGTCTCTTCCGTAAAGTGCTTAGCTGTCCGTAGAAGCGCGAGCGAGTGGGGTAGGCGCGTAAAATGGCTCAAAGTGGGTCGCTGAGCCCGGCAGACGCGAAAGGAGTGTGGCGGCCCGAGAAAGTTCACGTCCGCATCTCGGTAGCAGAGAGAGAGAGCCGTCAGAATGCACAGTCTGCGGTTCCACTCCTAGGACGGAAGGCTGCAAAGCGCATTTTCAGTGACATTCAAGGCTCGCATAATATACATATCTATATCTACAGTACTCAATTCCTTCTTAACTCTATTTCCCTGCTCAGTTTAACTCCTTCTTGCTTCTTAGCTTCATATCAATGGACCTCTCCACCACCCACCCAACCCCCATGTCAGCTGGCAGACGATTCCGCCATCCTGTCTCCTTGCCAGGGCAGAGAAAATGGTGGACTGTGTTCCTTGAAGGTGGACATATTTGTTTGGACGTTTCCACTTGCACCCCGATTTGGAAGCAAACCCCTTTTAGTTCAGCGGAGCTCACAAGGAAACATGTTTAGGGATTGAGAGGAGACCGATCTGCTCTCTTTCCAGAAACATGAAGCAGCCCCGGCGGGGAAGCCGCTTCCACAGGTGCTTCCCTCCCTCACCAATGAAACATTTTCTCATAAACTGTCAGACTAAGACTGCAAACCTATGCGCACTTGCTAGAAGTGAGAGTAAACCTCACTGAACACAAGAGATATTTCTTCTGCGTAAACAAGACGCTGAGATTGGACGGCACGGGGTACATTTTCGGGGGCAGTTCAGTTTAAGAAAAGTGAGCAGTGCGGCTCATCTATCATCGCTAAGGTCAGGTTAATGTTACTTTTTAAGAATGCGCGTTGTTGTTATTATTCTTAAAATGACTGCTATATAGTACAGTACTGTGTAGTAAATTCCTTGCAATGGCGGCGGGTGGCAAAGAAGCCGTGGAAGATGGTGTACTAGGAGGAAGAGGATGGGTCAAACGTTTCCCTATTTACGAGAGTGCAGCAGCGCCAGCACGAATCGAAGGGGACGCGCGCGCAGCCAGCTCTTCTGGCCTTGTTTATAATCGTCACGTGGAGCAGCTCTTGCACACACCCACCCCGAGAAGATGAGTAAACAAACAGAACTGTCTCACTAAGAGACTTCAAAAATTGTTGTGTTCCTTTACTTATTTTCTCCCAGTTCAGCTTGGGTTTTTCAATGTGGATTTATTTTATTTTTTTGCAGATATTTCAGTGGGATGGGAGGGTCTTGATGATGATGATTTAGATTCACTACTTTTTGCTGGGTGCACTAATGCACACCTTGTTTCTTAATGGTAAACGACCACTTTAAAATCTTGGGCTTTGCACTTAGGGAAAGCAGGAGAACCATAATACTGTAGCTGCAGGGGATATGTGAGGATCTGGCTCACTATACTAATTATTCAGCCCCCCCCTTTTTTTAAAGAAGGAAAACTATCCCATTACAATTTGGTATATGGCAAAATGTGAAGTTTATATGCTACCCACTGGCTCTCAGCCAAACTCTAGTTGTCTTAAATGTGCCTTAGCGCCCCTTCCAGATGTTTTTTGTGTAGCTCTATAGCTGCTGGGGGACGCGGGTGGCGCTGTGGGTAAAACCTCAGTGCCTAGGACTTGCCGATTGTATGGTCGGCGGTTCGAATCCCCGTGGCGGGGTGCGCTCCCGTCGTTCGGTCCCAGCGCCTGCCAACCTAGCAGTTTCGAAAGCACCCCTAGGTGCAAGTAGATAAATAGGGACCGCTTACCAGCGGAAAGGTAAACGGCGTTCCGTGTGCTGCGCTGGCTCGCCAGATGCAGCTTGTCACGCTGGCCATGTGACCCGGAAGTGTCTGCGGACAGCGCTGGCTCCCGGCCTATAGAGTGAGATGAGCGCACAACCCTAGAGTCTGGCAAGACTGGCCCGAACAGGCAGGGGTACCTTTACCTTTTATAGCTGCTGGGGTTTTTTCCAGACTTATCCCCGTACTTCCACATGTCATTATCATTCCATCACTATTCTGGAACACTGCATTCACCAAACCACTTTTAATTCAATTGCAAAAAGATCTGGCATTTGTAAAATATCCAAAATAGTCCTGAAATGTTTGCATTGTGTGGAAGTTTTGTGCAATTGCCCACATTTTGCATGGCTGATTGGTGCGTGTAGTTTGAGCAGCTCTGTTTTGCCCCTTCCCCTCCATCAGACTTTTTGCACAGGAAGTTATATGTAGCTCAGACCAAAACAGTGAACTGGAGAAGTTATTGCTGTCTGATCTCCTAATCTCCGTCATGCTGGAATAGCAAGGATTAAACCCCACACCCCATCCACACTCATAACTCATTTACTGATTGGAGGGGCAAATACGTTTACTTATAATTATCACGATTTGTAAGAGGTGGAATTATTACTCGTGTTGGTAGGTCAATACTGGATTAGTGGAGGAGCAGGGATTCCCCCAAATCTGTGGGTGCCAGATTTTTCCTTCTAGATTCTTGGGTGCTGGGGTTTAATCAGAGCTTTGACAATTAAGGTGAGCTGACAGGCTGAGCTTGTTTTGCTGCAAGATAGAGAGGCAGAGGGAGATGATGGCCCTGCCATTACCCCATCGCAAAAGCCATCTAGAAGACAAAAGACCCTACAAGGGCAACATGAATGTGATGTCACACAGGGAAAAAATTGTCCTTTTACGCAGAGGTTTGGAGCAAGGTGTTCTGGGAACAAGGAGGAGGAATGTAGGCAAAACTCCATGTGGCGCTGGCTAGAGGAGGCTGCACTGTGAGACTGGAGGCCATGATTGGCTGCTGCTACTTTGGCCCCAAGCTTGCTGAAGCTGTGAGAGGAGCAATGAGGGACACCCTTTGAACATCATGTTCTGCACCCCCTCCATTGAAGGCTTCAAATGTAAATATGTATGAATAAACCATATTTCTAAGACTCTGCAAAATCCGCTTGGGTGAGTGCCTGGAACCCCCTGGCAACCAGCTACTGCTCAGCAGAGATTGGCTGTGGTGTGCAGCTATGGGCTGGATTCCAGTAACTGGCCTGCACAATGACTTCCGTTAGTGTAATGGGACTTGCCCCCTCTCTTCCTGCCATGCCCCTACACTCACACCCCCAATATAGTCTCAGGGGGTGTGCTTGGGAGAACCCTCAGAATATGCAGGGGAATGAGAGGGGAGAGAGTTGGTCAGGCAAGCAGAAATTCTTGTGCTTTTGTCAAATTCCTCCCTACATTTCCACAGGAGGCTACATGAATGGATTTTGCTTCACATTCCAGAGTCTTGCTAGTCCTCATATTGATGACAATAAAAGCATTTGTTTGTCTGTGTAGTACACTGCTCAGTTGGCTGAGCAATGGCAGGGGTGTTTGTAATGATGTACCTGTATGATATACGGATATGGTTAATGTGATAAAATCCTATTCTTTGGCACTGGCTGGATTAGACGACCTCCTGATCCTCTCTTTTTCTCTTCCATGTGAATATTTCAAATAAAGTCACAGGGATAACTTATATCACCACAGGGAGTCCAAAATACATTCACCAGCTAAATAATTCTGAGAGGCCTAGGTTAAGACCAGCCATAGGTAAACTCCGGCCCGCCAGATGTTTGGGACTACAATTCCCATCATCCCTAGCTAACAGGACCAGTGGTCAGGGATGATGGGAATTGTAGTCCCAAACATCTGGAGGGCCAGAGTTTGCCTATGCCTGGTTAAGACGGTACCCTTGAAATATTTTTTCATGTGAGGAAGAAGTGTTTTGCCTGAGGCAAAACAGAAGGCAGTGTCAGGTAACTCAAGACACCTTGACTCACCCCACTGGTTCACATTGCCACCTCATCCTGTTTCTTCACCTGGCGAAGAACTACAAAAATGAACTATAATACAAAGCATGACTTATTACTAATCAGCCACCATTGACTAAAAAAAAGAAAGAACAATTTTCAGAGGAAAGGATCATCTGCTGAGAAGAGCCTGTCATTTGTCTAATCCAGGCATCCCCAACATGCAGCCCTCCAGATGTTTTTGCCTACAACTCCCATGATCCCTAGCTAACAGGACCAGTGGTCAGGGATGATGGGAATTGTAGTCCAAAACATCTGGAGGGCTGAAGGTTGGGGATGCCTGGTCTAATCTGTGGAGTGGCAGTAGAAAATGAGAATCAGAATTGTGTGGTGGTTTAGCATCTATTCAGATCTCTGATGAAAAGTATGTGTATTTATTTAGAATCAAAATGTGTCTGATGTACCAATTGCAATTAAATTAACCAAATGCTGTTGCTTATGGAACCAAAACAACCACAGCCACATACATAGAACCATCAGCAGCTAGCTGATTGTAACCACCTAGTTTGCAGAAGTGCACAACATCTTTGGAAGAAACCCTCAGGAGGGGATTGAAATGGATCGTGGCTATTGATGTGTACACCACTTCCCAAATCAGTGGTGGGAGTGCGCTGGATGTAGAGTACATGGGAGTGTGTACTCAGCCTTGGTGCAATCTGAATGTGGGTTCTTGAATGGGAATCAAAACCAGTCTCACCTTTTAATTTGCAATATTAACAATGGAGCACATCGCAGGGCCGCCATAAGCACCTTTACCCTCGAATCTACAAACAGGGTATAACAGTGAATTATACTGCAAGGCTGTTTGTAGACTACTCTCTGCAATGTGTAGATAAAAGGACCTCTGCCTTTCAAGCCTTTTTCCAACAGTCCACACATTCACTTAGCAGTCATGTTTATAAATCAAGTGTGGAAAAGCCAAGTGATGCACATAGCTGTGTGCACCTAGATTTAGCCTGGGAAAGGCACTCTGCATACTCATATCCCTGCTTTGTTGCTTTGTAACCTCTGAGACAGACACCTGGCATTCAGCATTCCAGGGCTAAGCTTTGATGTCAGACCTGTAACTGTCATCTAAGCTATGAATAAACCATGTGTGTATTTTGTCACATGGAAAGTAGTGGGATGAGAAAAGGTGATGTCATTGCTTACCTTGTGAACGTATATTTGGATAGACTTTGTAACAGCTGCAGATCAAGAGGTTTGCACTGAAACCTCATAGTTATTCCCTAAGCTCAGGATAGCCAGTGTGGCACCCTCCAGATGTTGCTGGTCTACAACTCTTGTCATTCCTGACCATTACCCATGCTGGCTGGGGCTGATGCATGTTGGAGTCCACCTGTCCTAAGAAGTGTCTATGTTAACAATTCTGGGAAGCTTTTGGGTCTTCAGACACCCTCCCAACCCACTCATTTTATCCTAAATATGCCAAGGGTACAATGCACTCTCATAAACTTCAAGCCTGCTATTTCCCCCCTGCTCACTCTTTTCTTTTCTTTCTTTTTAAGAAATCTGCCTGGACAAAGAAAATTAAATTAAAATCCACATTTAAATAGCATTCCTGGGGGGAAAGCTGGGCTTAATTTGGGGCAGGGTTCGATCAGGAAAACTGCTCCTTAATCTGCAAAAATGTGAATGAAAAGGTGCATCTGAGCATGTTCAGAGAACCATTCCTTCACCCTTGAGTAACCACACCCTGTGCCTATTCTAATTACTCATGGCTGGCTTACCACATTTTAAAGTGAGTGAAACAGTGAACATTACCAACTACCGAGTTGGGAGCAAGGGCAATACAGTCTTGAGTCTAAGCCTCCTTAGCTGCCCCACTGTATATAGTCTGAATTAAGGAGGTCTTCCAGGACTAATTACGTGACATATATTCAGACTTTGGTGTCTCCCTTTCAACAAATTAATCACTGGGAGTGTTATTTTTCCATGAGACTTTCCAGTAGACTGCAAAGTTATAAGGCTTAACATTAATATTGCTCACAGTACTTGAGGCTTTAATGGACGATGCAGAATCATCAGGCTCAGCTGATTTGGAGAAATTATCCTAGAGTACCTTACTATAGGAATTTAGGGAAACACTGTATTCATAACTGTCTGCCTTAGGGCTGGCTCATATGTCACAGAAAGGCCCATA